CGGATACAAATGCAAGGGGTGAGTCACTTTTCAGCTTCATCCTGAACTCCAACCTAATTATCGGTAATCGGGGTAATGACCCCACTTTTATATAAAAACCGTCAAGAGGTTATTGACCTCATTCTATTGTCTCACAAACTGTCAGACATAATGAAAAGTTCGGAGAGTTAGAGGACCACTCCTTCTCCGACCACAGGTACATCGAGACAATCCTATCGCTCGAAAGCACCATACCCACTAGCTATACTAACCCAAGGAAAGCCAACTGGGATATGTATAGTGCCAAAAATGGAAGGAATCCTCCCCTAGCCCCAAAATGCCCTGACACTCAAGACGATCTCAATCATCTTGTGGACAATTTCACGGAAGCTTGCAACAAGGCCTTCATGGCAGCTTGCACCCCAACCAAACCAAGAGGGAAAAAGAAACCCCCCTGGTGGTCTAAACATATGGTATCCTCCGGAAAGACTGCAGGACTCCCCTTAACAGAGCCAAAAGCAGCAGCGAGGAAGCGCACTGGGAAAATTACAAAAGTAAGCTAACCCTATACAAAAAAGAAACAAGGAGAGCAAAAAGGGCCTCTTGGCACAAATTTTGCTCCGAAATTGAGGACACGTCAGAAGCCTCAAGGCTCACAAGATCCTGTCAAAAACATCCCCCTCGGTGGGATACCTTAAGAGAACGGATGGTACGTGGACTAACTCTCGTGAGGACCCTACACATTCTACTCGATACTCATTTTCCTGGGTGTACGACCATCGAGCTGGCAGACACCCCAAGTGAAGGCCCGGGCACATCCTCACAAAACGGAACATTAGCTGGGCAGTAAACAGCTTCAAATCCTACAAATCGCCTGGCCCGGACCAAGTCATTCCGGCTCAGTTGCAAAAAGCCGGGATATGGCCATCAACTGGCTGCAAAGTATCTTCAGGAGAGTACTGACAGTGGGAAAAATCCCCCGAGCTGGTTAAAGGCTAAAATAGTCTTTATCCCCAAAGCAGGAAACCCCTCACACACAACCCCAAAAGACTTCAGACCAATAAGTCTATCGTCCTTTCTCTCAAAACCTTTGAGAGACTAGTAGGGCTGCAGCTGAGGACAACTATAAATCCTCAGTGGCTGTCAGGCGCTCAACATGCCTACCGAAAAGGAAAATCCACGGAAAAACGGCATATCAGTAATCTCGGCGGTAGAGAAATCTCTACAAGTCAACGAATACTCCTTAATCGCTTTCCTAGACATTGAGGGAGCTTTTAACAACGGCATACCGGGAGCCATCACAGAGGCCCTGACTAGCCTGGAAGTGGATCGTCACTTGATGATGCTCATAGATCAATTGCTCACATGCAGGACAGTGACATCATCAATGGGATCGTCCACTCAGTCTAGGTATGTCAAAAGAGGCACCCCGCAAGGTGGTGTCCTGTCTCCCTTCTATGGAACATAGCAGTCAATAAGATACTGTGTGACCTGGAAGGGGGGGGCTGCAAGGTGGTAGCATACGGCGGACGACGTTGCCATTATTTTCTGGGGAAAATTCCCTCAAACACTCTGTGATCTAATGACCGCAAAGCTCGCGCGACTCTCAGAATGGACAGAGTCGCGTGGACTAGGAATCAATCCCTCTAAAACGGAACTTGTATTGTTTACAACCAAATACAAAATCCTGTCCCTCAACCCCCCAATATAAACGGATGTAGGCTCTCATTCAGTGACAGTGCCAGTTACTTAGGGTTGGTAATTGATAAAAAACTTAGCTGGAACCTGAGCATCAAAGACAGAGTGAAGAAGGCTACGATAGCCCTCTACACTTGCAAGAAAGCCATTGGGCTCAAATGGGGCATGAACCCAAGAATAGTCCAATGGATTTACCTGGCAATAGTCAGACCAATACTACTCTACGGAGTCGCAGTGTGGTGGCCAGCCCTATCGAAGGGGACCATCACTAAACAACTGGGCAAAGGTGCAGCGCACTGCAGCCCTATGCATCAGTGGAGCTCTCAGCACAACACCAACGGATGCGCTAAATGCTATCCTATGCTTGCAGAGCCTTGACCTTGCAGGTAAGGAGCAGGCAGAAATGGCAGCAATCCGTCTTAGAGACTCTGACCAATGGGTGTCACATCACACCGGTCATGCGTCCATCCTAAATGGAAACAAAATCGTCCCCACAAAAACGGACTACTGCGTTCCGAGGAGTATACAGATACCCCCTTCGAGACAATCATCCCTCACAGAAACATCTGGCTTGAGGGACCACCTGGTCCAAAGGGAGCCATTCGAATCTTTACTGATGGCTCAAAGCTGGACAACAAGGTCGGAGGAGGAATCTACTCCGAACAGCTGAACATAAGACAGTCCTTCAGGCTCCCGGATCACTGCAGTGTCTTCCAAGCAGAAGTCATAGCGATCAAGGAGGCTTTGAGCTGTCTTCAGGAAATAGCCCCTGCGGCAACTCATATAAATATCTATAGTGATAGCCAAGCGGCGATCAAATCGCTGAATGCGATAACATCAAGCTCGGCCACCGTGGCAAACTGTCGCAAATCTCTTCATGAGATGGCTTATCAGTTCGTCATCAGCCTAATATGGGTCCCGGGTCATCAGGACATTGAAGGCAACTGCATAGCGGACGAGCTGGCCAGAGCTGGCACAACAATCCCCTTTCTCCATGATAAGGAGGATATTCGTATGCCAATGGCCACCTGCAAGCTCAAAATAAAAGAACACTTTAAGCGATTAATAAATGACAGATGGCAAACCGTGTCACTATGTCGCATAACTCGGCAAACATGGCCTAATATCAATAAGAAGCGCACCGATGAGCTTTGCAAACTCAGTAGGAGTAGGTGCAGCTCAGTCATACGCTCTCTCACGGGACACTGGCTAATAGGCACACATGCAAGCAGGCTGGGCGCCCCATATAACGACTTCTGTCGAAGCTGTAGAGATGAGGACGAGGAGGAGACTGTGGAACACCTGTTCTGCTCCTGTCCGGCTCTCAGTAGAAGGAGACTGAAATACTTGGGCGCTCCTTTTCTAACTGACATTTCGGACATGTCTACAATCAGTCCCAGACGGATCGCAGGCTTCATAAGGGCATCCGGATGGGATAATGGATAACATAGGGTCTCACGAGGGAGAAGGGAACGTAATATGCGGTATCACAACGGGCCGAAACCGGCCTAGGTGTGTCGGGTCTCTGACAATCCCGACAGCCGCTTCAACCTAACCTAACCTAAGGTCCACTACCTACTGTGAAGAGCAAGGTGGTTGTGCTCTTCCCTCTTGACCCACCCTCCATGTAGAATAACATAAGAATATGCCATTATGGTTCTACCCAAAACCTTCTGCTGCTGCGCTATGTGCCTTAGGAACCCCTCCCAAAAATCAGATTAGAAATTCATGTTAATCGTTATAATTTTACTTTGACTTGTATGACTTCATGTTGTTTGTAACCCCCATTATTTCTACCCTAACCCTTAAAACTATTTTTACTGCATGGGTATATATATGTGGGACTAATTTAAGACATAGGAATTCAAGAGAATGATCAAATATGAATAAAAATAATATAATCAAAATATAAAGTAAGAATGAATTAATTAAAGGAATTAAATGGCATAATTGTAGTGATTGTAGTTAATAATAATTCATTTTATATATGGTTAAGCATGCATGTCTCACTGTGTAGACGCTATTCTCCTGACCCGGAGTGTATGTGTATATATGTGTGTCTACTTACAGACTTTTAAACAGCTGCTGGTGTCGTTGGGCCCAATTTCACGTTTGCAATAAAAACTGTTAAAGAAATGTAGGAATATGCAAAATAACAAGAAGCGTTATGAAGAGGTATTTTACCAATACCCTTCCATGGACACAATGAGACCGATGATGCACCTTTTAAAATCTATTCCTAACTAGGCATAAATTTCATTTTTTTTCTTCTATTTCTAAGTTAACGTCTAGGAATATCTAATATTATTAAACAATTTTCTTTTCTATTTTTTTTCTTCGATCCATAACTTTTCATTAAATTTTCTTTTCTAGATTTTGTGATTTATTTTTCTTCCCTTAAGTGGCTTTTAGAATGTTGGCATCGAAGCAATTTTAATAACCTGAGAGAAGGAGAGAATAGGTGACATACGGTCAGGTGGGTCTTAGTTAAATGCGCATAGGTGTATGGTCAGCCGCAGAGGGCAATGACCGCTGAGCTAATTTTTCCACACCCTACATGTGCAAGCACCAACATTTTCTTTACACAAGGCGCGGTGATATAATATTTTAGATGGTTTTATATTGTCGTTGTTGTTGAGCGGCTTAATTGCGCGTGAGTATAAACGGCTCGGTTCCGATCGCCAAGTCCATCCGTTTCTATGCCTGCAGGCAAGGTCCGGTGGCACCAAGAAGAAGGACTGATGATCGTCATGAAGCGGACCCCCCTCCTTGAGGGTGGTCAGGCCAGGTCAGCAATTTTCTGCCACACGTGGATCATAACCTATGTACAGTACATACGTGAAATTATGTAATAAGGTCACTTTTTCATTTTCTTTGCGTACCTTATCCAGGGTTTGGTTTGTAGTTTTTGTTCTTTGCAGCCACAACACTTTTCAAATGGTTTTTATTGGGTTTATGTTTCCCTTTTATGGTTTTGCAGAATTTTCACCACGTTTTTCTTTTTATATGTTCTGTACGCACATTAATTAAGTCTTCCAACTTTGAATGCACTTTTGTTCTGTGCAGCATGCACTTAGCCTAACTATTTTACCCCTCCAAAAGCTGGGTATGAGAGAGCTAAGAAGGTTCTCGAAGGGCTAGCCGGAGAGAAAAGCTCACATGTGAACGGCGCTCGCACGTGCAATTTCGAAAGAGAGAGCTTTTCAAGATAAAAGCTTCTGATCTTGCATTTGGGCTCTCTATGGAATGCATGTACAGTGGGGAAGGTTCAATATTTTTGCGATAAAATAAGAAGACTGTCCCAAAAAAAATTCTTAATACAATTTTGTCCAGACATTCTAAATTTTGTATTTTTGGTCTGCAACCTTCACAACACATAAAATTTATAGATCTTGGCCACGTAACGAGGGGCAATCCGCATCCGGAATGCACAGGCAATGCTCATCCCGACGAACAGGAATACCTGCACTGTTGCCACCAGGATTTTCTTGAGCATGCCCCACTCTGATTCGTCCACTCGCGGTGCCGCTCTGACCTTCGGTGGCGGTTCCTCTTCCTGGGTGCCGCATGGCACCTGTGGGGGAATGGGCAGCGAGGATATGGCTGTCAACAGAAGCTTTTCCACCATCGGCGTCCATTCATTCAGTGCCGCTCTGACCTTTCTGGAAGACTTTGCCCTCTTTGTCGCAAACGTGTCGTCCACTTCTTGTCCTTGAACCGACGCCCACGGGCACTTGTCGATGGCGGTTCCTCTGTCTGCGGTGCCCATGACACCTGTGGGGGAAGATGGCCAGCGAGGATATGGCTGCAACCATCGGCGAAGTCCATCCATTGTCGGGAATTCCGTTTTCGGGCATTTTCGTTTCTGTTGGGTGGCCATCGGAGGTCAGGCATGTCACCATCGAGTGCGTCGACTGGGCGAGAGGCTAGGGGACTCAGGCAGGACTTCATCGACGGCGTTGCGGTGCGATTGAGGCTCAAGCAGGACCCCATCGACGGCGTTGCGGTACTGGAGCTCAAGCAGGACAACATCGTTGACAGCTCGTTGGCGTTCGAGTAGCGGCCGATAGAGGGCTGCATAGAGGGTACTGCTCAGCTGCAGCTGCTCCAGTTATCGCTGTAGGGCTGCATAGAGGTGAAGCTATCGCATGAAGTCGTCCAGCTGCTCCAGTTATCGCTGGAGTCCACCATCATTTCATCATCACCATCATGTCCATCAGTGTAGTCCGCCGGATTCGGCGATTCTGAGGATGAGGCGACGCCTTCTTGTTGGGTACTGGCCAAGCCAGTGGCGTCAATTTCTGCACTTTTTGAGGGGGGCCTGACCACGGCTGAGTCCTGCGACGCGAGGAAGAATATTCCTCTTTGGCTGGCCAGCGGGGTGGATGTGAAGCAGGTGCCGGATAGGGCGCAGCCGCAGCAGATCTGGCTGCTGCCATGGTCGGAGCTGTCCCCAGTTGCGTGACTTCGTCCGAACGTGGATGGAAATTTTGTTGAAACAATTAGATACTTTTAGATACTTAAAATTTGTAAAACGATAGAAATTTTGTTTTACGCTAATACTAAAAATACAAAAATATAAAAACAAGCGTACAGCTCCAAAGTCAGTGCTAGAATGAAATATTGCCCAGCCTCAAATCAAACGATACGAACAGAAAAGTAAATGCTAACTAGATGAAATACTTTTCCAAGCAAGTAAAACACATGCGAACTCTATTGATTTTTGTCGGTTTATGTTTTGGTAGAATTTTTTGTATTTTCTTTCAAATTGAAATGCAGCAGAACGCCACACTTCTGACTTCGAAGTCTCAGCAACTTCTAATAGATACGCCTGAAGGTAATCCATTCACTGTATTTCACGCATATGCCTCAGAAAGCAGCACAGAAAAGCTCTAAAACAGCTCATAGAGAGTGTACAATTATCTACCTATAATACCTTTAATACATATATTCAGAACACTCCCCGCTCTGCTCTGCTCTGATCTGATGAGCGGAGGAAAACCTCTCAAATTAAACTGCTTTTTGCTTGTTCCAGTGGAGGCTTTTATTTTATTTTTTTGGTTTATTGGATTGCATTTCATTTCTTGGCGACTTCTTGGCGGTCTTCTGGTATTTTCTTCTTGTGCTATTTTGCTTTTTTTATACCCGTACTTAAAAAAGAGTTAAGGGGTATATTAGATTCGTGGTAAAAGTGGATGTGTGTAACGCAGAGAAGGTCTGTCTGTCTGTCCGTCTTGATGAGCGCCTAGATCTCAGAGACTATAAAAGCTAGGGCAACCAAATTTGGTAGTCTGGAAACTCTTGTGATATCACACTGCTACAAGTGTATTTCAAAATTTCGCCCCGCCCCCTTCCGCCCACACAAAGGACGAAAATCTGTGGCAGGCACAGTTTTAAAGATACGATAAAACTAAAAACGCAGTATCGTAGAGAATGCCCATATCTACTAGATTGCCGAATCTGAATCAGATGGGATCATAATTATAGCCAGAATGAAGAAATTTTCAGTTGCTTCCCCTCCCCCTCCCGATCATGACAACACAACTCATTTTCCTTCTCGCTCGCACACTCTGCCGCGTTCAGTGCGCGAACAACCCCTAACGGAGGAGAATAGAATAGAATATAGAATATGAATGGAACATGTACAATCTACATGTTAGATGTAGAATATACATTGTATATGTAGATGTAGATATCATATGTAGCAAAAAAATGTAAAATGTAAAATTTTTTTTTTCTAAAATTCTTTAAAATCATAAGCTCAATAATGTATATACTGACTGAGTATGGGGTAAGTAGAGTCGCGTCCCCAGAAGCGACTCACATGTTCCTTCTCGTTTTATTTATATTTATTTGCACTTTTATCTCAATTGTTTTATTTACGTTTATTTATATTTACCTATATTTATATTCTTTTATTTTCAAATATGTAGTTGGGTATTATTAATGTTTTAGTTCGTAAATAAATTTTATAATTTTAATTTTATAATAGTAATTTGTATTTGACATCGGCTAATCCCATGCCCTAGAGAAGATTGCCCCGTAAGAAGGGGCCATTCGAGATTGACACACCCCCATCCTTGAACAACTATATTGGGGAAAACGCTCATCGATCAAACACAGCTATTTTATAGCTAGTTCTGGCTAGTTTTAAAGTTCGACTTAAAGCTCCAATTTTAAAAGCTTTTTTTCATGTTGGACCACAGAACAACTTCCTTTTCCTCTAAAAAGTTCACAGCACTGACTGCTGACCAAATGTACGCGGGAAGAAAAGAAAAGCGAATGCTAGCATTGCGGATTTAAATCATTTAAAACTAGAATAATGTAGTTTGTAGTAAGTACATTCGTATTCTCCACCCCCATTACCCCCTTCTAGAGGGTATCAAGAGCTATGCAAATATTATGTGATAAGTGACAGAGCTACGGAGAGCTACAAGTGCCAGGCCGAGGGCGTTTGTGGCACATAATTAATGAAGAGGCAGTGGCTCAACAGTTTACAAATGGCCAGTGTTGCCCCCGTGTGCTGCACCTTGGCAGTGATTGCAGGTGCAGCTGCCTTCTCAAGATCTATGGCTTTGTGCTGAGCCGAGAGCTTCAGATGCTTATGCTGAACCAGGTTCCGGGGCAGCAGCATTGACTCGGTTGGATTTCGGGCCATAGTAAATGCTATATAAGCGCTGTTCTGGGCCGGAATAGAGCATCAGTTTCGGTGGAGTCAAGCTTCCAGCAGCAATCCGACACAGAGTTCCTTTTTATCAGTTCATCATGCGGTACGCCCTACTCGTTGTGTTCCTGTGCGGACTCCCCTTCGCCTTTGTCTCGGCCGGCGATTCCGGAGGCAGGGGTGTTAACCGGGGGTGTTCTTAACCGTTTCGTTGTTCGATGATTTGAGAGTACAATTCTAACTCTTGCTTTGGTTTTAAGCAATGCCACGCGGCATGCGCGCAAACGAGCCCACGCTGAACCGCTTACCACACGCTAAATGCTACCCGATACACAGCTTACCCGCATATACCCGCTATCCGCTATCCGTAGCTTACACAGCTTACCCGATACAAAAGTTGTGTTCTTCACTACGAACGGGTAAAGGGCAAATATTAAGCAAATGGTTATTCAAATAAAAAATAAACGGTTATGGTTTCGAACACACACACACACGTACATATTACATATGCTCATAGACACGCTTATGTACATAAATAAATGCTTGAATAAACTTAATACATACAAATATATAATATTACAATTTATATAGATATATTTTGTGTCGGCCATCACCGCCGATTCAATACACTGTAACGGACACGGGAAGTGTCGTCTCGTCAGCCTACTAAAGGTTGGCCGGCTAGGCTCAGGGAAATGGGGTGGGTGTTGTGCTGGAAAACGAACTCCGTCACCTAACAAAATCGTAGACAGATTTACGGGAACTGGGATCGGAATTACAAACCCGGACGGAACTTAAAGTCCACTCTACTGTGAAGAGCAAGGTGGTTGTGCTTCCCCTCTTGACCCACCCTCCATGTAGAATAACATAAGATATGCCATTATGGTTCTCCCCAAAACCTTCTGCTGCTGCGCTATGTGCCTTAGGAACCCCTCCCCAAAAATCAGATTAGAAATTCATGTTAATCGTTATAGTTTTACTTTGACTTGTATGACTTCATATGTTTGTAACCCCCATTATTTCTACCCTAACCCTTAAAACTATTTTTACTGCATGGGTATATATATGTGGGACTAATTTAAGACATAGGAATTAAGAGAATGATCAAATATGAATAAAAATAATATAATCAAAATATAAAGTAAGAATGAATTAATTAAAGGAATTAAATGGCATAATTGTAGTGATTGTAGTTAATAATAATTCATTTTATATATGGTTAAGCATGCATGTCTCACTGTGATAGACACTATTCTCCTGACCCGGAGTGTATGTGTATATGTGTGTCACTTACAGACTTTTAAACAGCTGCCGTTGTTGGCCCAATTTCACGTTTGCAATACAAAACTGTTAAAGAAAGGGAATATGCAAAATAACAAGAAGCGTTATAAGTTTAACCAATACCCTTCCATGGACACAATGAGACCAATGATGCACCTTTTAATTATTACCTAACTAGGCATAAATTTCATTTTTTTCTTCTATTTCTAAGTTAACGTCTAGGAATATCTAATATTATTAAACAATTTTCTTTTCTATTTTTTTCTTCGATCAGTAACTTTTCATTAAATTTTCTTTTCTAGATTTTGTAAATTTTTTCTTCCCTTAAGTGGCTTTTAAAATGTTGGCATCGAACAATTTTAAATGATGAGAAGGAGAGAGAACGGTCAGGTGGGTCTTGAGTTAAATGCATAAGGTGTATGGTCAGCCGCAAGGGCAATGACCGCTGAACTAATTTTTCCGCCCCTACATGTAAGGAGCCCGACGTTTGTTGCACAAGGCGCGGTGATATAATATTTTAGATGAGTTTTATATTGTTGGTGTTGTTGAGCGGCTTAATTGCGCGTGAGTATAAACGGCCCGGTTCCGATCGCCAAGTCCATCCGTTTCTATGCCCAGGCAAGGTCCGGTGGCACCAAGAAAGAAGGACTGATGATCGTCATGAAGCGGCCCGGGGGTCAGGCCAGGTCAGCAATTTCTGCCACACGTGGATCATAACCTATGTACAGTACATACGTGAAATTATGTAATAAGGTCACTTTTTCATTTTCTTTGCGTACCTTGTCCAGGTTTGGTTTGTAGTTTTTGTTCTTTGCAGCCACAACACTTTTCAAATGGTTTTTATTGGGTTTATGTTCCCTTTTATGGTTTCCAGAGATCTTCACCACGTTTTCTTTTTATATGTTCTGTACGCACATTAATTAAGTCCTCCAACTTTGAATGCACTTTTGTTCTGTGCAGCATGCACTTAGCCTAGACTATTTTACCCCTCCAAAAGCTGGGTATGAGAGAGCTAAGAAGGTTCTCGAAGGGCTAGCCGTAAGCTGTGCTTGCGAGGAGAGAAAGCTCACATGTGAACGGCGCTCGCACGTGCAATTTCGAAGAGAGAGCTTTTCAAGATAAAAGCTTCTGATCTTGCATTTGGGCTCTCTATGGAATGCATGTACAGTGGGGAAGGTTCAATATTTTTGCGATAAAATAAGAAGACTGTTCCCAAAAAAAATTCTTAATACAATTTTGTCCAGACATTCTAAATTTTGTATTTTTGGTCTGCAACCTTCACAACACATAAAATTTATAGATCTTGGCCACGTAACGAGGGGCAATCCGCATCCGGAATGCACAGGGCAATGCTCATCCCGACGAACAGGAATACCTGCACTGTTGCCACCAGGATTTTCTTGAGCATGCCCGACTCTGATTCGTCCACTCGTGGGCCGCTCTGACCTTCGGTGGCGTTTCCTCTTCCTGGGTGCCGCATGGCACCTGTGGGGGAATGGGCAGCGAGGATATGGCTGTCAACAGAAGCTTTTCCACCATCGGCGTCCATTCATTCAGTGCCGCTCTGACCTTTCTGGAAGACACCTGTGGGGGAATGGGCAGCGAGGATATGGCTGTCACCACCATCGGCGAAGTCCATCCATTGTCGGGAATTCCGTTTTCTGTTGGGTGGCCATCGGAGGTCAGGCATGTCACCATCGAGTGCGTCGACTGGGCCGAGAGGCTAGGGGGACTCAGGCAGGACTTCATCGACGGCGTTGCGGTGCGATTGAGGCTAAGGCAGGACCCCATCGACGGCGTTGCGGTAGCATCGGAGCTCAAGCAGGACAACATCGTTGACAGCTCGTTGGCGTTCGAGTAGCGGCCGATAGAGGGCTGCATAAGAGGTGTGCTCCAGCTGCAGCTGCTCCAGTTATCGCTGTAGGGCTGCATAGAGGTGAAGCTATCGCATGAAGTCGTCCAGCTGCTCCAGTTATCGCTGGAGTCCACCATCATTTCATCATCACCATCATGTCCATCAGTGTAGTCCGCCGGATTCGGCGATTCCTGAGGATGAGGCGACGCCTTCTTGTTGGGTACTGGCCAAGCCAGTGGCGTCAATTTCTGCACTTTTTGAGGGGGGGCCTGACCACGGCTGAGTCCTGCGACGCGAGGAAGAATATTCCTCTTTGGCTGGCCAGCGGGTGGATGTGAAGCAGGTGCCGGATAGGGCGCAGCCGCAGCAGATCTGGCTGCTGCCATGGTCGGAGCTGTCCCCCAGTTGCGTGACTTCGTCCGAACGTGGATGGAAATTTTGTTGAAACAATTAGATACTTTTAGATACTTAAAATTTGTAAAACGATAGAAATTTTGTTTTACGCTAATACTAAAAATACAAAAATATAAAAACAAGCGTACAGCTCCAAAGTCAGTGCTAGAATGAAATATTGCCCAGCCTCAAATCAAACGATACGAACAGAAAAGTAAATGCTAACTAGATGAAATACTTTTCCAAGCAAGTAAAACACATGCGAACTCTATTGATTTTTGTCGGTTTATGTTTTGGTAGAATTTTTTGTATTTTCTTTCAAATTGAATGCAGCAGAACGCCACACTTCTGACTTCGAAGTCTCAGCAACTTCTAATAGATACGCCTGAAGGTAATCCATTCACTGTATTTCACGCATATGCCTCAGAAAGCAGCACAGAAAAGCTCTAAAACAGCTCATAGAGAGTGTACAATTATCTACCTATAATACCTTTAATACATCTTCAGGGACACTCCCCGCTCTGCTCTGCTCTGATCTGATGAGCGGAGGAAAACCTCTGAAAATTAAACTGCTTTTGCTTGTTCCAGTGGAGGCTTTTATTTTATTTTTTTGGTTTATTGGATTGCATTTCATTTCTTGGCGACTTCTTGGCAGTCTTCTGGTATTTTCTTCTTGTGCTAATTTGCTTTTTTTATACCCGTACTTAAAAAAGAGTTAAGGGGTATATTAGATTCGTGGTAAAAGTGGATGTGTGTAACGCAGAGAAGGAAACGTTTCCGACCCCATAAAGTATATATATTCCTGATCAGCATCAATAGCCGAGTCGATAGAGCCATGTCTGTCTGTCCGTCTGTCTGTCTGTCTGTCCGTCTTGATGAGCGCCTAGATCTCAGAGACTATAAAAGCTAGGGCAACCAAATTTGGTAGTCTGGAAACTCTTGTGATATCACACTGCTACAAGTGGTTTTCAAAATTTCGCCCCGCCCCCTTCCGCCCACACAAAGGACGAAAATCTGTGGCAGGCACAGTTTTAAAGATACGATAAAACTAAAAACGCAGTATCGTAGAGAATGCCCATATCTACTAGATTGCGAATCTGAATCAGATCGGATCATAATTATAGCCAGAATGAAGAAATTTTCAGTTGCTCCCCCCCCCCCTCCCGATCATGACAACACAACTCATTTTCCTTCTCGCTCGCACACTCTGCCGCGTTCAGTGCGCGAGCACCCCTAAAGGGAGAATAGAATAGAATATAGAATATGAATGGAACATGTACAATCTACATGTTAGATGTAGAATATACATTGTATATGTAGATGTAGATATCATATGTAGCAAAAAAATGTAAAATGTAAAATTTTTTTTTTCTAAAATTCTTTAAAATCATAAGCTCAATAATGTATATACTGACTGAGTACGGGTATAAGTAAGAGTCGCGTCCCCAGAAGCGACTCACACGTTCCTTCTCGTTTTATTTATATTTATTTGCACTTTTATCTCAATTGTTTTATTTACGTTTATTTATATTTACCTATATTTATATTCTTTTATTTTCAAATATGTAGTTGGGTATTATTAATGTTTTAGTTCGTAAATAAATTTTATAATTTTAATTTTATAATAGTAATTTGTATTTGACATCGGCTAATCCCTGCCCTAGAAGAATTGCCTAAGAAGGGGCCATTCGGATGTGGGCAGGGGGCAGAATGGCCAACGGTAGGGGTGGGCATGTACGCCTCATCAACACCTGAGGTCGTAGTAGGAGAAACCAGCAGGTGCAGCGGAATAGTTCCATTCCCTTTAGTATGTTTGTTGGTCGGAAGTAAGTGGGATTCTCTATTCCGGTTTTCGCTTGTTCCTAGCAGGCAACTTATTTAGAATATTATAGTGAAGAAAGGCCAATCATGGGAGTGGAGCAAGACCACCACCCTCCTAGCCGACGAGCCTGAGCCGGAATGTACAGCGTTCTCCTCTCCCATGCCCAACACCGCGCCTGAGAATAATGAGTTGGAATGCATTTGTTACAGTAGGCAGAGGGTGTAGTCCATTTCCGATTCCCTAGCCCACTAATTTGCTTACAATGATGAGGCACGCACCATTGACGGCCTTGTCACCAAGCTGCCCATAAGCAGCCGCCTCGCGAGCAGCCGCCTCGCGCCGTACAGGTCGAATATACTGATCTTCGCAGCAGCGTCGATGAGCCCCTCATCCCGGGCATGCCACTCCGCTCGGGGAAAAAGCTAGGGACGGGAAAGGTGCGCACTCGTTCAGCCCCACGCACCATTGACGGACCAATTGAAGGAACCAGTAACGGACAAACTGGCGGAACCAGTAACGGACAAACTGAAGGACCCCTAATCGTGTAAGCCTCGCTCCCCAAGGCTGAGCAGGAAGACTGCGATGGTGAAACCCAAACCGACACAGTCACCGGGGCTGACTTATCTCCAAATTAAATTTTGTGTTCATTAGTTATAATTTACAATCAATATAAATAAAATTTACAATGTAATCCATGTAGCACATGGAACACCATTAATTCCGTTAAAAAAACGAATCAACAAGAAGGAAGAAGGGGCCGTGTGAGAGCGAAACAATATTTTGAATATTTCAAAAATAAATAAAATGAATAATTGTGTAAATAATAAATAATAATAAGATTGTGAGGTCCTATTTCAGGCTGAGGTAAGCATCAGCCTGTCCAGGGTCCTCTACAGACAATTTGTAGATCGCAGGTGACTTTCAGGTCGGAGCGGCCTTGTCTGACCGAAAGAGAGGTAGGACACAGGAGGAGCATTTTGTTGCTGACAAAAATACTTCAAGAAGATCGTGGTTTTTGGTTTTCTGGTGTTTATTATTTTTATTACTTAATTCTTTGTGGGTTTGTGTACGATGGATTACTTGCGGATCTGTTACTTTGCCTTGGAGCCGTTGGACTGGGGGTGCAGTGTCTTGTGTTTTGGCTGAGGGACTGCCTAGTGCAGTGTCTTGGGTGTGTGACTGAGGGACTGCGTAGTACAGTGTCTTGGGTGTGTGACTGAGGGACTGCCTTGTGCAGTGTCTTGTGTTTGGGCTGATGGACTGCGTAGTACAGTGTCTTGGGTGTGTGACTGAGGGACTGCCTTGTGCAGTGTCTTGGGGTGTGTGACTGAGGGACTGTGTAAGTACAGTGTCTTGGGTGTGTGACTGAGGGACTGCGTAGCACAGTCTTGTATTCGGGCTGATGGACTGCCTACTCTTTCAGCCGATCTTGGCCCTTTTATGCAGCTGGCGATAGCACCTGAGACCCGGAAATAATTAATTCTTGCTGACTTAAGGTTATTGGATAACAATAATTGTGGAGCGCGGTAAGTGGGTCGAAGCTTTGTGCTTCGTTGACGATTGTTAGTGGGTCAGGGTGGTTTTGCTGAGGCTGCATCCCGGAAGGTGCGGGCTGCAGTGGGGTAAGGTGATATCTGAATTTGGGTCGGTAGGGTCGATAATTTTATGCTAGCTTGACCTATTGTGAAATAACGCCAATGATATCTCTCATTGCGAAATTGTGTCGGCTTGGCTTATTGTAGGCTGCTGATTTCACAATTGTCTCAAGAGGTGGAGTGTTTGGGGTGGGGAGCCATGGTTCGCTAGCTCGGTGTATATCAGTTTGGTTATTGTCTCCCGCCAGCGTGGATGCGCTGACCCTTCGCCGTTTGTGACGAGCCATGGCTAGAACCATGGTTCGTTACTCCCCCCTTTCTGCCGGGTGGGTGATGGAGAGATTAGTGGCGTCGCTTGGCGGGTGCTGAGGATCGCCTTTTTACCGGGTTATCCTGTCCTTGGGCTTTTGCCGAGTCTTTGGATTCGTCGGTGTTAATCTCGTCACTTTAGCGTGGCGTCGGTAACGTTATATTTTCTACTGCTGCTGTGATCATGGCCTTTCTGCTGTTCTGGGTGCTTTGTAGTTGGTGTCTGCTTGGTGGGTCGATTATCCCATATGACGATGGTTTTCTCGGCGGTTTTCTTCGGTAGTTCCTTGTCCAGGAACGTGAAATTATGTAATAAGGTCACTTTTTCATTTTCTTTGCGTACCTTATCCAGGGTTTGGTTTGTAGTTTTTGTTCTTTGCAGCCACAACACTTTTCAAATGGTTTTTATTGGGTTTATGTTCCCTTTTATGGTTTTGCAGAATTTTCACCACGTTTTTCTTTTTATATGTTCTGTACGCACATTAATTAAGTCTTCCAACTTTGAATGCACTTTTGTTCTGTGCAGCATGCACTTAGCCTAACTATTTTACCCCTCCAAAAGCTGGGTATGAGAGAGCTAAGAAGGTCTCGAAGGGCTAGCCGTAAGCTATGCTTGCGGAGAGAAAAGCTCACATGTGAACGGCGCTCGCACGTGCAATTTCGAAGAGAGAGCTTTTCAAGATAAAAGCTTCTGATCTTGCATTTGGGCTCTCTATGGAATGCGTGTACAGTGGGGAAGGTTCAATATTTTTGCGATAAAATAAGAAGACTGTTCCCAAAAAAATTCTTAATACAATTTTTGTCCAGACATTCTAAATTTTGTATTTTTGGTCTGCAACCTTCACAACACATAAAATTTATAGATCTTGGCCACGTAACGAGGGGCAATCCGCATCCGGAATGCACAGGGCAATGCTCATCCCGACGAACAGGAATACCTGCACTGTTGCCACCAGGATTTTCTTGAGCATGCCCGACTCTGATTCGTCCACTCGCGGTGCCGCTCTGACCTTCGGTGGCGTTTCCTCTTCCTGGGTGCCGCATGGCACCTGTGGGGGAATGGGCAGCGAGGATATGGCTGCCAACAGTAGCTTTTCCACCATCGGCGTCCATTCATTCAGTGCCGCTCTGACCTTTCTGGAAGACTTTGCCCGTCCCCGGCCAAACGTGTCGTCCACTTCTTGTCCTTGAACCGACGCCCACGGGCACTTGTCGATGGCGGTTCTTTTGTTCTGCGTGCCGCATGACACCTGTGGGGGAATGGGCAGCGAGGATATGGCTGCAACCATCGGCGAAGTCCATCCATTGTCGGGAATTCCGTTTTCGGGCATTTTCGTTTCTGTTGGGTGGCCATCGGAGGTCAGGCATGTCACCATCGAGTGCGTCGACTGGGCCGAGAGGCTAGGGGGACTCAGGCAGGACTTCATCGACGGCGTTGCGGTGCGATTGAGGCTCAAGCAGGACCCCATCGACGGCGTTGCGGTAGCATCGGAGCTCAAGCAGGACAACATCGTTGACAGCTCGTTGGCGTTCGAGTAGCGGCCGATAGAGGGCTGCATAGAGGTACTGCTCCAGCTGCAGCTGCTCCAGTTATCGCTGTAGGGCTGCATAGAGGTGAAGCTATCGCATGAAGTCGTCCAGCTGCTCCAGTCCACCCGCCCCTATCGCTGGAGTCCACCATCATTTCATCATCACCATCATGTCCATCAGTGTAGTCCGCCGGATTCGGCGATTCCTGAGGATGAGGCGACGCCTTCTTGTTGGGTACTGGCCAAGCCAGTGGCGTCAATTTCTGCACTTTTTGAGGGGGGGCCTGACCACGGCTGAGTCCTGCGACGCGAGGAAGAATATTCCTCTTTGGCTGGCCAGCGGGTGGATGTGAAGCAGGTGCCGGATAGGGCGCAGCCGCAGCAGATCTGGCTGCTGCCATGGTCGGAGCTGTCCCCAGTTGCGTGACTTCGTCCGAACGTGGATGGAAATTTTGTTGAAACAATTAGATACTTTTAGATACTTAAAATTTGTAAAACGATAGAAATTTTGTTTTACGCTAATACTAAAAATACAAAAATATAAAAACAAGCGTACAGCTCCAAAGTCAGTGCTAGAATGAAAATATTGCCCAGCCTCAAATCAAACGATACGAACAGAAAAGTAAATGCTAACTAGATGAAATACTTTTCCAAGCAAGTAAAACACATGCGAACTCTATTGATTTTTGTCGGTTTATGTTTTGGTAGAATTTTTTGTATTTTCTTTCAAATTGAATGCAGCAGAACGCCACACTTCTGACTTCGAAGTCTCAGCAACTTCTAATAGATACGCCTGAAGGTAATCCATTTACTGTATTTCACGCATATGCCTCAGAAAGCAGCACAGAAAAGCTCTAAAACAGCTCATAGAGAGTGTACAATTATCTACCTATAATACCTTTAATACATATATTCAGAACACTCCCCGCTCTGCTCTGCTCTGATCTGATGAGCGGAGGAAAACCTCTGAAAATTAAACTGCTTTTTGCTTGTTCCAGTGGAGGCTTTTATTTTATTTTTTTGGTTTATTGGATTGCATTTCATTTCTTGGCGACTTCTTGGCGGTCTTCTGGTATTTTCTTCTTGTGCTATTTTGCTTTTTTTATACCCGTACTTAAAAAAGAGTTAAGGGGTATATTAGATTCGTGGTAAAAGTGGATGTGTGTAACGCAGAGAAGGAAACGTTTCCGACCCCATAAAGTATATATATTCCTGATCAGCATCAATAGCCGAGTCGATAGAGCCATGTCTGTCTGTCCGTCTGTCTGTCTGTCTGTCTGTCTGTCCGTCTTGATGAGCGCCTAGATCTCAGAGACTATAAAAGCTAGGGCAACCAAATTTGGTAGTCTGGAAACTCTTGTGATATCACACTGCTACAAGTGTATTTCAAAATTTCGCCCCGCCCCCTTCCGCCCACACAAAGGACGAAAATCTGTGGCAGGCACAGTTTTAAAGATACGATAAAACTAAAAACGCAGTATCGTAGAGAATGCCCATATCTACTAGATTGCCGAATCTGAATCAGATCGGATCATAATTATAGCCAGAATGAAGAAATTTTCAGTTGCTTCCCCTCCCCCTCCCGATCATGACAACACAACTCATTTTCCTTCTCGCTCGCACACTCTGCCGCGTTCAGTGCGCGAGCAACCCCTAACGAGGAGAATAGAATAGAATATAGAATATGAATGGAACATGTACAATCTACATGTTAGATGTAGAATATACATTGTATATGTAGATGTAGATATCATATGTAGCAAAAAAATGTAAAATGTAAAATTTTTTTTTTTCTAAAATTCTTTAAAATCATAAGCTCAATAATGTATATACTGACTGAGTACGGGTATAAGTAGAGTCGCGTCCCCAGAAGCGACTCACACGTTCCTTCTCGTTTTATTTATATTTATTTGCACTTTTATCTCAATTGTTTTATTTACGTTTATTTATATTTACCTATATTTATATTCTTTTATTTTCAAATATGTAGTTGGGTATTATTAATGTTTTAGTTCGTAAATAAATTTTATAATTTTAATTTTATAATAGTAATTTGTATTTGACATCGGCTAATCCCATGCCCTAGAAGAATTGCCCTAAGAAGGGGCCATTCGGATGTGGGCCAGGGGGCAGAATGGCCAACCAGCAGGTGCAGCGGAATAGTTCCATTCCCTTTAGTATGTTTGTTGGTCGGAAGTAAGTGGGATTCTCTATTCCGGTTTTCGCTTGTTCCTAGCAGGCAACTTATTTAGAATATTATAGTGAAGAAAGGCCAATCATGGGAGTGGAGCAAGACCACCACCCTCCTAGCCGACGAGCCTGAGCCGGAATATACAGCGTTCTCCTCTCTCTCCCATGCCCAACACCGCGCCTGAGAATAATGAGTTGGAATGCATTTGTTACAGTAGGCAGAGGGTGTAGTCCATTTCCGATTCCCTAGCCCACTAATTTGCTTACAATGATGAGGCACGCACCATTGACGGCCTTGTCACCAAGCTGCCCATAAGCAGCCCTTCAAGCGAGCAGCCGCCTCGCGCCGTACAGGTCGAATATACTGATCTTCGCAGCAGCGTCGATGAGCCCCTCATCCCGGGCATGCCACTCCGCTCGGGAAAAAAGCTAGGGACGGGAAAGGTGCGCACTCGTTCAGCCCCACGCACCATTGACGGACCAATTGAAGGAACCAGTAACGGACAAACTGGCGGAACCAGTAACGGACAAACTGAAGGACCCCTAATCGTGTAAGCCTCGCTCCCCGAGGCTGAGCAGGAGAACTGCGATGGTGAAACCCAAACCGACACAGTCACCGGGGCTGACTTATCTCCAAATTAAATTTTGTGTTCATTAGTTATAATTTACAATCAATATAAATAAAATTTACAATGTAATCCATGTAGCACATGGAACACCATTAATTCCGTTAAAAAAACGAATCAACAAGAAGGAAGAGGGCCGTGTGAGAGCGAAACAATATTTTGAATATTTCAAAAATAAATAAAATGAATAATTGTGTAAATAATAAATAATAATAAGATTGTGAGGTCCTATTTCAGGCTGAGGTAAGCATCAGCCTGTCCAGGGTCCTCTACAAGACAATTTGTAGATCGCAGGTGACTTTCAGGTTCGGAGCGGCCTTGTCTGACCGAAAGAGAGGTAGGACACAGGAGGAGCGTTTTGTTGCTGACAAAAATACTTCAAGAAGATCGTGGTTTTTGGTTTTGCTGGTGTTTATTATTTTTATTACTTAATTCTTTGTGGGTTTGTGTACGATGGATTACTTGCGGATCTTGTTACTTTGCCTTGGAGCCGTTGGACTGGGGGTGCAGTGTCTTGTGTTTTGGCTGAGGGACTGCCTAGTGCAGTGTCTTGGGTGTGTGACTGAGGGACTGCGTAGTACAGTGTCTTGGGTGTGTGACTGAGGGACTGCCTTGTGCAGTGTCTTGTGTTTGGGCTGATGGACTGCGTAGTACAGTGTCTTGGGTGTGTGACTGAGGGACTGCCTTGTGCAGTGTCTTGGGTGTGTGACTGAGGGACTGTGTAGTACAGTGTCTTGGGTGTGTGACTGAGGGACTGCGTAGCACAGTGTCTTGTATTCGGGCTGATGGACTGCCTACTCTTTCAGCCGATCTTGGCCCTTTTATGCAGCTGGCGATAGCACCTGAGACCCGGAAATAATTAATTCTTGCTGACTTAAGGTTATTGGATAACAATAATTGTGGAGCGCGGTAAGTGGGTCGAAGCTTTGTGCTTCGTTGACAATTGTTAGTGGGTCAGGGTGGTTTTGCTGAGGCTGCATCCCGGAAGGTGCGGGCTGCAGTTGGGTAAGGTGATATCTGAATTTGGGTCGGTAGGTCGATAATTTTATGCTAGCTTGACCTATTGTGAAATAACGCCAATGATATCTCTCATTGCGAAATTGTGTCGGCTTGGCTTATTGTAGGCTGCTGATTTCACAATTGTCTCAAGAGGTGGGGTGTTGTTGATCGAGAGTTCTTAATTAATTGTGTGCTTAAGACTATTTTATTTCCGAGGTGCTGACACACCGCTATTTGTGGAGAACCGTGGCTAGAGCCATGGTTCGCTAGCTCGGTGTATATCAGTTTGGTTATTGTCTCCCGCCAGCGTGGATGCGCTGACCCTTCGCCGTTTGTGACGAGCCATGGCTAGAACCATGGTTCGTTACACCCCCCCCTTTCTGCCGGGTGGGTGATGGAGAGATTAGTGGCGTCGCTTGGCGGGTGCTGAGGATCGCCTTTTTACCGGGTTATCCTGTCCTTGGGCTTTTGCCGAGTCTTTGGATTCGTCGGTGTTAATCTCGTCACTTTAGCGTGGCGTCGGTAACGTTATATTTTCTACTGCTGCTGTGATCATGGCCTTTCTGCTGTTCTGGGTGCTTTGTAGTTGGTGTCTGCTTGGTGGGTCGATTATCCCATATGACGATGGTTTTCTCGGCGGTTTTCTTCGGTAGTTCCTTGTCCAGGAACGTGAAATTATGTAATAAGGTCACTTTTTCATTTTCTTTGCGTACCTTATCCAGGGTTTGGTTTGTAGTTTTTGTTCTTTGCAGCCACAACACTTTTCAAATGGTTTTTATTGGGTTTATGTTCCCTTTTATGGTTTTGCAGAATTTTCACCACGTTTTTCTTTTTATATGTTCTGTACGCACATTAATTAAGTCTTCCAACTTTGAATGCACTTTTGTTCTGTGCAGCATGCACTTAGCCTAACTATTTTACCCCTCCAAAAGCTGGGTATGAGAGAGCTAAGAAGGTTCTCGAAGGGCTAGCCGTAAGCTATGCTTGCGGAGAGAAAAGCTCACATGTGAACGGCGCTCGCACGTGCAATTTCGAAAGAGAGAGCTTTTCAAGATAAAAGCTTCTGATCTTGCATTTGGGCTCTCTATGGAATGCATGTACAGTGGGGAAGGTTCAATATTTTTGCGATAAAATAAGAAGACTGTTCCCAAAAAAAATTCTTAATACAATTTTTGTCCAGACATTCTAAATTTTGTATTTTTGGTCTGCAACCTTCACAACACATAAAATTTATAGATCTTGGCCACGTAACGAGGGGCAATCCGCATCCGGAATGCACAGGGCAATGCTCATCCCGACGAACAGGAATACCTGCACTGTTGCCACCAGGATTTTCTTGAGCATGCCCGACTCTGATTCGTCCACTCGCGGTGCCGCTCTGACCTTCGGTGGCGTTTCCTCTTCCTGGGTGCCGCATGGCACCTGTGGGGGAATGGGCAGCGAGGATATGGCTGCCAACAGTAGCTTTTCCACCATCGGCGTCCATTCATTCAGTGCCGCTCTGACCTTTCTGGAAGACTTTGCCCGTCCCCCGGCCAAACGTGTCGTCCACTTCTTGTCCTTGAACCGACGCCCACGGGCACTTGTCGATGGCGGTTCCTCTGTCTGCGTGCCGCATGACACCTGTGGGGGAATGGGCAGCGAGGATATGGCTGCAACCATCGGCGAAGTCCATCCATTGTCGGGAATTCCGTTTTCGGGCATTTTCGTTTCTGTTGGGTGGCCATCGGAGGTCAGGCATGTCACCATCGAGTGCGTCGACTGGGCCGAGAGGCTAGGGGGACTCAGGCAGGACTTCATCGACGGCGTTGCGGTGCGATTGAGGCTCAAGCAGGACCCCATCGACGGCGTTGCGGTAGCATCGGAGCTCAAGCAGGACAACATCGTTGACAGCTCGTTGGCGTTCGAGTAGCGGCCGATAGAGGGCTGCATAGAGGTACTGCTCCAGCTGCAGCTGCTCCAGTTATCGCTGTAGGGCTGCATAGAGGTGAAGCTATCGCATGAAGTCGTCCAGCTGCTCCAGTTATCGCTGGAGTCCACCATCATTTCATCATCACCATCATGTCCATCAGTGTAGTCCGCCGGATTCGGCGATTCCTGAGGATGAGGCGACGCCTTCTTCTTGCTTCTTCTGCTCCAGTTATCGCTGGAGTCCACCATCATTTCATCATCACCATCATGTCCATCAGTGTAGTCCGCCGGATTCGGCGATTCCTGAGGATGAGGCGACGCCTTCTTGTTGGGTACTGGCCAAGCCAGTGGCGTCAATTTCTGCACTTTTTGAGGGGGGGCCTGACCACGGCTGAGTCCTGCGACGCGAGGAAGAATATTCCTCTTTGGCTGGCCAGCGGGTGGATGTGAAGCAGGTGCCGGATAGGGCGCAGCCGCAGCAGATCTGGCTGCTGCCATGGTCGGAGCTGTCCCCAGTTGCGTGACTTCGTCCGAACGTGGATGGAAATTTTGTTGAAACAATTAGATACTTTTAGATACTTAAAATTTGTAAAACGATAGAAATTTTGTTTTACGCTAATACTAAAAATACAAAAATATAAAAACAAGCGTACAGCTCCAAAGTCAGTGCTAGAATGAAATATTGCCCAGCCTCAAATCAAACGATACGAACAGAAAAGTAAATGCTAACTAGATGAAATACTTTTCCAAGCAAGTAAAACACATGCGAACTCTATTGATTTTTGTCGGTTTATGTTTTGGTAGAATTTTTTGTATTTTCTTTCAAATTGAATGCAGCAGAACGCCACACTTCTGACTTCGAAGTCTCAGCAACTTCTAATAGATACGCCTGAAGGTAATCCATTCACTGTATTTCACGCATATGCCTCAGAAAGCAGCACAGAAAAGCTCTAAAACAGCTCATAGAGAGTGTACAATTATCTACCTATAATACCTTTAATACATATATTCAGAACACTCCCCGCTCTGCTCTGCTCTGATCTGATGAGCGGAGGAAAACCTCTGAAAATTAAACTGCTTTTTGCTTGTTCCAGTGGAGGCTTTTATTTTATTTTTTTGGTTTATTGGATTGCATTTCATTTCTTGGCGACTTCTTGGCGGTCTTCTGGTATTTTCTTCTTGTGCTATTTTGCTTTTTTTATACCCGTACTTAAAAAAGAGTTAAGGGGTATATTAGATTCGTGGTAAAAGTGGATGTGTGTAACGCAGAGAAGGAAACGTTTCCGACCCCATAAAGTATATATATTCCTGATCAGCATCAATAGCCGAGTCGATAGAGCCATGTCTGTCTGTCCGTCTGTCTGTCTGTCTGTCCGTCTTGATGAGCGCCTAGATCTCAGAGACTATAAAAGCTAGGGCAACCAAATTTGGTAGTCTGGAAACTCTTGTGATATCACACTGCTACAAGTGTATTTCAAAATTTCGCCCCGCCCCCTTCCGCCCACACAAAGGACGAAAATCTGTGGCAGGCACAGTTTTAAAGATACGATAAAACTAAAAACGCAGTATCGTAGAGAATGCCCATATCTACTAGATTGCCGAATCTGAATCAGATCGGATCATAATTATAGCCAGAATGAAGAAATTTTCAGTTGCTTCCCCTCCCCCTCCCGATCATGACAACACAACTCATTTTCCTTCTCGCTCGCACACTCTGCCGCGTTCAGTGCGCGAGCAACCCTAAAGGAGAATAGAATAGAATATAGAATATGAATGGAACATGTACAATCTACATGTTAGATGTAGAATATACATTGTATATGTAGATGTAGATATCATATGTAGCAAAAAAATGTAAAATGTAAAATTTTTTTTTTTCTAAAATTCTTTAAAATCATAAGCTCAATAATGTATATACTGACTGAGTACGGGTATAAGTAGAGTCGCGTCCCCAGAAGCGACTCACACGTTCCTTCTCGTTTTATTTATATTTATTTGCACTTTTATCTCAATTGTTTTATTTACGTTTATTTATATTTACCTATATTTATATTCTTTTATTTTCAAATATGTAGTTGGGTATTATTAATGTTTTAGTTCGTAAATAAATTTTATAATTTTAATTTTATAATAGTAATTTGTATTTGACATCGGCTAATCCCATGCCCTGGAGAAGAATTGCCCTAAGAAGGGGCCATTCGGATTGACACACCCCCATCCTTGAACAACTATATTGAGGAAAACGCTCATCGATCAAACACAGCTATTTTATAGCTAGTTCTGGCTAGTTTTAAAGTTCGACTTAAAGCTCCAATTTTAAAAGCTTTTTTTTCATGTTGGACCACAGAACAACTTCCTTTCCTCTAAAAAGTTCACAGCACTGACTGCTGACCAAATGTACGCGGGAAGAAAGAAAAGCGAATGCTAGCATTGCGGATTTAAATCATTTAAAACTAGAATAATGTAGTTTGTAGTAAGTACATTCGCACTACTCCACACCACCATTACCCCCTTCTAGAGGGTATCAAGAGCTATGCAAATATTATGTGATAAGTGACAGAGCTACGGAGAGCTACAAGTGCCAGGCCGAGGGCGTTTGTGGCACATAATTAATGAAGAGGCAGTGGCTCAACAGTTTACAAATGGCCAGTGTTGCCCCCGTGTGCTGCACCTTGGCAGTGATTGCAGGTGCAGCTGCCTTCTCAAGATCTATGGCTTTGTGCTGAGCCGAGAGCTTCAGATGCTTATGCTGAACCAGGTTCCGGGTGCAGCAGCTTGACTCGGTTGGATTTTGGGCCATAGTAAATGCTATATAAGCGCTGTTCTGGGCCGGAATAGAGCATCAGTTTCGGTGGAGTCAAGCTTCCAGCAGCAATCCGACACAGAGTTCCTTTTTATCAGTTCATCATGCGGTACGCCCTACTCGTTGTGTTCCTGTGCGGACTCCCCTTCGCCTTTGTCTCGGCCGGCGATTCCGGAGGCAGGGGTGTTAACCGGGGGTGTTCTTAACCGTTTCGTTGTTCGATGATTTGAGAGTACAATTCTAACTCTTGCTTTGGTTTTAAGCAATGCCACGCGGCATGCGCGCAAACGAGCCCACGCTGAACCGCTTACCACACGCTAAATGCTACCCGATACACAGCTTACCCGCATATACCCGCTATCCGCTATCCGTAGCTTACACAGCTTACCCGATACAAAAGTTGTGTTCTTCACACTACGAACGGGTAAAGGTAAATGCGAGTCCTCTTAAATATTAAGCAAATGGTTATTCAAATAAAAAATAAACGGTTATGGTTTCGAACACACACACACACGTACATATTACATATGCTCATAGACACACTTGCTGTACATAAATAAATGCTTGAATAAACTTAATACATACAAATATATAATATTACAATTTATATAGATATATTTTGTGTCGGCCATCACCGCCGATTCAATACACTGTAACGGACACGGGAAGTGTCGTCTCGTCAGCACTCTCTGTCTACTAAAGGTTGGCCGGCTAGGCTCAGGGAAAATGGGGTGGGTGTTGTGCTGCGAAAACGAACTCCGTCACCTAACAAAATCGTAGACAGATTTACGGGAACTGGGATCGGAATTACAAACCCGGACGGAACTTAAGGTCCACTACCTACTGTGAAGAGCAAGGTGGTTGTGCTCTTCCCTCTTGACCCACCCTCCATGTAGAATAACATAAGAATATGCCATTATGGTTCTACCCAAAACCTTCTGCTGCTGCGCTATGTGCCTTAGGAACCCCTCCCAAAAATCAGATTAGAAATTCATGTTAATCGTTATAATTTTACTTTGACTTGTATGACTTCATGTTGTTTGTAACCCCCATTATTTCTACCCTAACCCTTAAAACTATTTTTACTGCATGGGTATATATATGTGGGACTAATTTAAGACATAGGAATTCAAGAGAATGATCAAATATGAATAAAAATAATATAATCAAAATATAAAGTAAGAATGAATTAATTAAAGGAATTAAATGGCATAATTGTAGTGATTGTAGTTAATAATAATTCATTTTATATATGGTTAAGCATGCATGTCTCACTGTGTAGACGCTATTCTCCTGACCCGGAGTGTATGTGTATATATGTGTGTCTACTTACAGACTTTTAAACAGCTGCTGGTGTCGTTGGGCCCAAATTCACGTTTTCAATAAAAACTGTTAAAGAAATGTAGGAATATGCAAAATAACAAGAAGCGTTATGAAGAGGTATTTTACCAATACCCTTCCATGGACACAATGAGACCGATGATGCACCTTTTAAAATCTATTCCTAACTAGGCATAAATTTCATTTTTTTTTTCTTCTATTTCTAAGTTAACGTCTAGGAATATCTAATATTATTAAACAATTTTCTTTTCTATTTTTTTCTTCGATCCATAACTTTTCATTAAATTTTCTTTTCTAGATTTTGTGATTTATTTTTCTTCCCTTAAGTGGCTTTTAGAATGTCGGCATCGAACAATTTTAATAACCTGAGAGAAGGAGAGAATAGGTGACATACGGTCAGGTGGGTCTAGTTAAATGCGCATAGGTGTATGGTCAGCCGCAAGGGCAATGACCGCTGAGCTAATTTTTCCACACCCTACATGTGCAAGCACCAACATTTTCTTTACACAAGGCGCGGTGATATAATATTTTAGATGGTTTTATATTGTCGTTGTTGTTGAGCGGCTTAATTGCGCGTGAGTATAAACGGCTCGGTTCCGATCGCCAAGTCCATCCGTTTCTATGCCTGCAGGCAAGGTCCGGTGGCACCAAGAAGAAGGACTGATGATCGTCATGAAGCGGACCCCCCCTCCTTGAGGGGTGGTCAGGCCAGGTCAGCAATTTTCTGCCACACGTGGATCATAACCTATGTACAGTACATACGTGAAATTATGTAATAAGGTCACTTTTTCATTTTCTTTGCGTACCTTATCCAGGGTTTGGTTTGTAGTTTTTGTTCTTTGCAGCCACAACACTTTTCAAATGGTTTTTATTGGGTTTATGTTCCCTTTTATGGTTTTGCAGAATTTTCACCACGTTTTTCTTTTTATATGTTCTGTACGCACATTAATTAAGTCTTCCAACTTTGAATGCACTTTTGTTCTGTGCAGCATGCACTTAGCCTAACTATTTTACCCCTCCAAAAGCTGGGTATGAGAGAGCTAAGAAGGTTCTCGAAGGGCTAGCCGTAAGCTATGCTTGCGGAGAGAAAAGCTCACATGTGAACGGCGCTCGCACGTGCAATTTCGAAGAGAGAGCTTTTCAAGATAAAAGCTTCTGATCTTGCATTTGGGCTCTCTATGGAATGCATGTACAGTGGGGAAGGTTCAATATTTTTGCGATAAAATAAGAAGACTGTTCCCAAAAAAAATTCTTAATACAATTTTTGTCCAGACATTCTAAATTTTGTATTTTTGGTCTGCAACCTTCACAACACATAAAATTTATAGATCTTGGCCACGTAACGAGGGGCAATCCGCATCCGGAATGCACAGGGCAATGCTCATCCCGACGAACAGGAATACCTGCACTGTTGCCACCAGGATTTTCTTGAGCATGCCCGACTCTGATTCGTCCACTCGCGGTGCCGCTCTGACCTTCGGTGGCGTTTCCTCTTCCTGGGTGCCGCATGGCACCTGTGGGGGAATGGGCAGCGAGGA